CACCCCCCTGCTTACAGAGGAGCAGTGGAAGGAGAGGAAGACGGTGGGTGCTAGCTAGTCATACTGCTGCTCATTTGACGCTTTTGCCATAGAAGATCAAAGAGTGGTTTCAAAACCATGGAAGACGCATCAGGATGCCGAAGTTTGGATATGTCAAACTCATTTCCACCAGATATGTAGTTGCGCACCTGCGCCAGGAGCAAATACATGAGGTCGTGACTCGGCTCGCAAAGGGCGCGCCACCTGGGTCAAGAGCGTTTCTTGCTAAATACCAACAAGGCCTAAAGGAAGTAATGGGTGGTCTCACAGACGCTGAGAAAGAGGAGTATAAAGGCTTGGCAGAGGAATGGACGAATGCCGTACCGCCCCCTGACGTCCAAAGAAAGTGAGCGGTCCAAATCATGCCTTTCAGCGCCGTCTCACCTTGACCACCAAACAGACTCAATTCGAAACATGGCCTGGGCATGATGAGAGAAATGGATAAAGTCAAGCAATACCAGCTAGGAGTTTTCAGCTGGAGTCTGGTGGGCGACATAGATGAAAATGGACAACATAGGAGCGCTTGGTTGGACCATAATGCCGATTTTGGTCCTGAGGGCCTCCGAGAGTTCAGAGATATGTTTCCTGAGGCTGTAGGTAACATTCTGGAAGCCTGGGTCCAGTATTTGAACTACATTCAAGGTAAGATGATTATGTTGTCACGCCCTTGATCAGTGAAGTATTGAACTTCAAACTGCAGAATTTCAGCAGGGGCCTTCAGATTCACCGGCGCAACATTGCTATACCAGGCTGAGGCAGAAACGGAAGGCGCCGCATTTTGACCTCGATGGCGGCCTACCAGTGCTTCCTCTTGCGCCCGAGGATAGAGCTGAATCTGGCGATCTACTTAAATCCCTCATCAGAGAATTCATGACCATTCATTATCGTTTGGCTTCAGGCAAGCCATCGGTGGTCGTTCCCTGGTTTTGTTTAGATGAGCACAGGAACACGTTGTGGGAGAGTGAGATGTGGCCTGAGGATGTCAAGATCCGTGATCCCAGCAAATTAACGGTTCCATGCTGCAAGAAAATACTTCAATTGTGGAGAGGCCGACAGCAGACTGGTGGGGCAAGTCACACATTTCGTTTTTCTTTTTTCATAGAAGATAAGAAACTGTCC